GGCGGTGGACTGGTGGAAGCCGGGGACGGAGCGGCTGGGGGGCTGCCGGATTGGTTCCGTAGCGCCGCCCTCTCCCACACTGCGCAGTTCCCCGCCGACCCTCCACCCCCCCCCCAGACCCCTCATAGCTCCCCCTTCCGATAATCCGGCACCTTTGGGACCCAGGGGGTGCCGGATTATCAGATATGCCGGACTATCGGAAGTTTATTTTATATATATATATAAATCTGAGCATCAAAGTGCATTGTTCTGGCTCATGCAATCAGTCACAGTAAGCTGGTGTAAACTATGGGAATCCAGCAAAATCAGACTACTTTGCTTAAGGTCCCTAGCTTTAGGCACCCAAGTTTGAAAGTTTAGACGTAAAGGTTGAGACGGTGATTTCCACAGTAGTTTGTATCTGTGCTGAATAAAAATTTCTAATGGGCTACATTTGGGGGCATTTTTCCATACAAATTATGCAGTTTTGCCATGTAATTATGGTAAAAAAGCATGAAACAAACTTATGTGAATTTCAGCAAGTATTCTGATTACAGTACTTTGGTATCACATTTGTGAATGTGACTATGGAAGGACAGGTTAGCATGGGCCACCTTTGGTCCTCAACTTCTTTTCACGCCAAACGTTGTAGTTTCATTTGAGTTGCTCCCGTTGCTCTAGCTGGAAAGAAAAAGGCGGCGGTTCTCTCCCTCACTCTTGCCAAAAGCCAGGGCCTAGTCTCTTGAGATGCCAAAATCAAACACCACTCACAGCAGATGGTGGAAATGTTCAAAATAGGATTCCCTATGCTCTGTGGGCCTCCTCAGGTGTGTTTCTCCCTCAGTGGGATTCATGATGGACACAACAGGCATGTGTCTAGGGCTCTGGATCTCGGAGATGTGCGATGAGATCAAAACCAAGGCTCTCATGGGAACAATTGGTCCTGGCTGTCGTGACTGCAAAGAAAAGCTTGAAAACAAGAGCTGAGTGTAGTAGATCTGGTGGTATCTGCTTGAGGCTGCAGCAGAGATGAGAGCTGCCGCCTTTTAGTGCCAGGGAAGAAACTGCCTGGCCCCACACTCTCCACCCAAACAGCCCTGCCAGACTGAGCAGCTTGGCTTGAGGCAGTGGCTGGGCTCTGCAGAATTGCCTTCACTTTGGGAGGGCTCAGCTGTCCTCCCCTGGTCTTTTGGTTCTACAAGTCAGGTGTGGGGAGGAAAATGGCAGTGTCTGCCAAACAACTTCCCCTCGTGGCACCAGAATGAGAAGCTGCTCTTGATAGAGAGTGCAGGTCTGTGATTCTCCCTGTCAGGAAAAAAAGACATGATTCACAATGAAAGCGCAAATAATCATTGGCTATCTGACTAGCCCGTCATTATGCAGTGAGAGGGA